AAGCAAAAATGACAAGGACAATGGAAATAGAAATTACTAATTTCAGGAATGAAAGCAGGAACAGTTTAACAGTTCCTAATGGCACTTAAAGGGGTACTTAGAAAATAATGCGAATAATTTTATCTAATAAATGTGACCATTTGCTTGACTTAGATACACTTCTTGAAAGACAGATGTTTCTTCCCCTTACACTGGCAGAAGGGAATCCTGTGATCATTTCCAGCAGCCAGGAAGGTAAAATGAGGATGTGACAAAGGGAGATAGAACGGTGTGGAGAGCTTACCTCCCTCACAATGCATTACCTATGAAGAGATACATTACTGCCCTCTGAAATGAAAAAAAAAAGGGGGGGAGGGGCTTTATTAGATGTCAAGGGAATGGAGTGCATTGTGTAGAAAGGTGTGGACATGTGCCACAGTTAGGTTTTTACTCACTTGCAATCAAGACTCGATGCAGTGCATTTATTAGCCAAAATGAAGTGTTTTAAAAATCAAGGTGCCCCCCAGTGGTACTTGGAGGTCACATCCTGCAGTGTCTGGAATGAGAAGTTTGCACCATCTAGGATCAAACTGAGCCTATTGTTTAAACTCTCTCCCCAAACTCCCAAAATAAGCATTGCACCTAAGTGCCCAGAGGGAGATTTTTTTTAATTGAATCACCGTGAATTATAAAGTTACAAAGATATTTATGATTGAGTTTCATGCATCTATTGTTCCAAAACCAGTTCCTTCACTAGTGCCCACTACTGTCCACCAATGTCCCCAGTTTCCCGCTTGCTGCCCAGCTTGACTCCGGCCAGCACTTTTCTCTGCTCCCATTGTCCTAGCGTTCCCCTCCCTGTCTCATCCCCTGCCCCATGCCCCAGTGTCAAACTTCCTACTGAACGCCAGTTCTCCTGGTCCTCTTTCTATTGCGAAGTTCCCCTATAACATTTCTTCATATCCCACATATGAGAGATCATTCTGAGTCTGTTCCTCTCCCTTTGGTTTCACTCATAATATTCTCCAGATCCAGAGGGAGATATTTTTTAGCTGAACAGGAGAACAGAGAGTCCAAGAGCATTTGCTAGAGGGCTGGAGAGATAGCACAGGAGGTAAAGCGGTTGCCTTCTATGCAGCCAACTATGGTTTTGAACCCCAGCACTGCATATGGTACCCCATACCCCGCCAGGAGTGATCCCTGAACAGAGAGCCAGGAGTAAGCCCTAAGCACTGTCAGGTGTGGCTCTAAAACCATAACTGTATCACCGTCATCCTGTTGTTCATCGATTTCCTCTAGCTGGCACCAGTAATATCTCCATTCGTCCTAGCCCTGAGGTTTTAGCATGTGCCACGTTTGAGGCTCTTTCAGGGTCAGGGGAATGAGATCCATCATTGTTACTGGGTTTTGGCATATCTAGTATGCCATGGGGAGTTTGCCAGACTCTGCCGTGCAGGCAGGATACTCTTCAGTAGCCTGCCGGGTTCTCCAAGAGTAAGAACTAGATAATAGGATGTTGAGCAATTAGTGGCCACTCGCTTCTGGGAGCTGGGTTTTATAGTCTCTGGGTCTTGGCCATTGATGGGATAACCCGGCGCTGGGGGCAGTTGGTGGGTGTAACATCTACCTACTGGAAGATGGGGATCTGGGTGGAGGAGGCCCAGTCCCGATCCGAGCAGGCTTAGAGATCTCAGCCCCTGGTCCTGCATGCCTGTGTTCTTCTGCCGGTTCCTTCATGTGTGAAGCTAGTCCAAACCATAACAATAATAATAATAAATAAATATTAAAGAAAATCCTAGAAAAGATGATCCTTGGATGCAATCTGGTAATACCAAATCCAATGTGATTTCTTTATAATGTGAAAACTCTTCTTCCTCTTCCTTAGGGTATCCAACTCTCCCCTTTGGCAAACTTAGGTGCTCCAATAAGTTCTTTCCCCATGCCTTGTAGTACTTGTTATTTTTTCTATTCCCTTATGGATGATATTGTTGAAATGACATTGATATTGTTGATACTGAATTCAGTCAATGTTTGTTGGATAAATGAATCGTGTGCTGGTCATATTGCTATGTCACATGTTAGACATCAGAAACCACACAAAAGGGTCCAATTGTTAACATCAATGTCAAAGATTCAGGCCCAGCCTTGTAGAAATGTTCTAAGATCCTCAGGCTTTGGCTTCCTACTAAAGACCAGTTTTCCCATTCTCTGTTTCTATTGCCTTTTTGTAGTCTGCTGCTGTGGCATAAGCGGGGAAGGCAAAAAGCTTCACCAAAGCCCGGGAAACAATAAAAACTGTTTCAGACAGCCTCCTGGGAAGACAGGAAACAGCGGTGGCAAAATGGCCTAAGAACATCACGTCACAAATGTCTCATGTTCCCACATCTACAGAGCACAACATGTGTGTTTTGTGAAGACTGAGACCAGTAGTGCCGTAGGCCTGGCCACAGGAGACTTGTACTGGGTACTCTGTAGCTAGTCCCAACACTTGGGTGCCCGGAGGAACCCAGTGCTGTCTCTGGACTATTAACTCTAAGAGGACAACAGGGCTACCAGAAGGATTGAGATCCAAAGTGGTTGCGCTTGGTCCCTGACTTCCAAAGAGTAAGCTAGGAAGAAAACATCAGTGTGTCTTCCATCTCCGCTCTTAGAAAGTATAATAAAACAGAATTCTAGGTAAAGGGATTTCTGAAAATTTCAGTGTTGAACTTCTTTGTATTGCTTACCTTCTCCCTCTCCCCAAATAAACTAGCCTTAAAATCTTGAAATGGAACAAAATAAAACACTGCCTTAAACTAGCCTTTAGGATCAGAAAAGACAAGGAAGAGCTGCCAAGTTTGCCTGTGGCAGTAAACAAGTAGGTGAGTGAAAGGCTGAAGAGCTGGATTTCTAGAGCCTCTTAAATGAAAAGGGAAGAAGGGGCTGGGGAGGGAGATACTACAGCAATAGGGCTCTTGCTTTGTACACCACCAACCTGGGGTTCGATCCCTGGCACCACAAATGGTCCCCTGAACACCACCAGGAGTTATCTGTGAGCCACAGAGCTAGGAGTAAGCCCTGAGCACAGCGGGATGTGGCCCCAAAACAAAACATAAAAATGGAAGCAGCATCAGAACATTACTAGGGGATTTGGGGAGACCCAGTTACTTCAAGAGTCTAGGGGAGTGTTATACCATTAGCCCTTCACCTCACTGGCCCTCTCATTCAGAATACAACAGAGGTTGAAGCCCTCCTTTCTCCAACTCCCCAAAGCAGGCCCCAAAGGGCACTTTACTGAAAGAGGTAAAAAGCCAAAGCCTGAGGATCTTAGAACACTTCTGCAAGGCTGGGCCTGTGCCTTTGACATCGATGTTAAACAACAGGACTCCTTTGTGTGGTTTCTGACGCCTAACATGTGACCTAGCAATGTGACTGGCACACAATTCATTTATTCAACAAACATTGACCGAGTTCTCTATGTACCAGGCATTTGGCATTCAAGGACTAGGTGGGGGATTCTGTGGTGAACAAGACAAAGTCCCTGCCCTTGTAGAATTACGGAACAAAACCCAACTAAGCTAGGGAGCCAAAAAAGTGAGAAGAATGTCTCTGAATGCTTCTAAGGGTGTTTAGACTTGCGGGAGAAAAGGCAAGTCAGTCAGGCTGATGATCCCAGGCCACAGTATTCTAGAGAGCTGACCGCAGGGGCCCCGCAGGCCCATTTAAAGAGCTTTTAGGTCTTCAGGTAGGGAGAGCCATCAAAGCCTTTAAATGAAATGCTTATATTGACTATAACCTCCCCCCCCCCGCCCCATTATCACCTTTACAGCAGTTTTGATAAAATGTAAAGTCAAATGCAGAAGATGAACACACAGTCTGCATATACACTCAAAGGTCATTCTTTGTTAAAAAAAATAGAAGGATAATATCCATGGTCAGGGAAACCAGGGGTAGGATTGGTCAGTGGTTGGACTGACAAGTATGTTGGGCTGAGAGTAGGTAAGATAGAGAAGAGACCAATATGACAATAGCTGGGAATGATCACGCTGGACAAAATCTGAGGGTTAAAAGTAAGTAAGGGATATTCTTGATACCCGTTCAGTATCAGTATTGCAAACCATAATGCCTAAAAGGAGAAGGGGGGGGAGAGGGAGGGAGAGGAGAGAGAGGGGGGGTGGGGGGGAGAGAGAGAGAGAGAGAGAGAGTGCCTGTCATAGAGGCAGGTGAGGTGGGGTGGGGGGTGATGGGAGGGAACCTGGGGTGCTGGGAAAGGTACACTGGTGGAGAGATGGGTGTTGACACACTGTGTGACTGAAATCCAATCATGCACAGCTTTGTAATGGTCTATCTCACAGTGATTGAATTAAAAGTTAAAAAGAAAAAAAAGTTTTAAAAAATCTTGGTTCTGGCCTCGACAGGGTTCGAGCTGCTGGAGTGCAGGCTCTACAGAACACAGAGGCCAGCTTCCATCAGGACACCGCAGGGTCAGTGAGCCTCTGAGCACCACCTGGTGTGACCTAAAGCAAACAGCCATTCCCCACAGCAGATGACGGGTCACAGTAAAGCTCTGCATTATAGCTAACACCTTGGTTTCAAATCCACCCACTCAGTTATGGGCTTTTGGGCAAGTTGCCTGTGCCTCAATGATTTCGACTGGAAAATGGGGATGAAAGAAAAGCTCCAACTTCATAGGGTCGCTGCGAAAATGAAGCACGCCAGTGCATGGCCCAATCCAGTGAACGAAGTTCTTATCACTTCTTCCCATCATTACGGTGCAGGGGGGCGGGGGAATCCTTTGAGCTAATGCTCGGCGTGGGAGGGGAGGGGGCTTGTGAAACCACAGGACCCTTATCTCCGGGGCAGAATTCTCCCTTTCTTTCTTTCCCTCGTCGTTTAAGCGGAACACAGGACACTGTGCTCTCGGAAAGCGGCGCCGGGCCAAAGCGCCGGCTCAAAGGCGGTCATTGTGGCCCGGCCGCCCCTCCCCCGGCCCGGAGCGCGTCTCCATGGCAACGCGGGGGCTTCGCCTCTCCCCGCCTCCCGGGGCCGCGGACCGGAAGCAGTCCGCGCCGGGGCTTTCTGGGAAACGGGGCTCGCGAGCGGCGTTCCTGCGTCGGCCGCGGACAGCGCAGCGGCGGCGGTGCCCGGCCCGGAGGTTTGCGCCGGGTGTGTGCGGGGGTGAGGAGGGCGGGGAGAGGCAGAGGCGTGAGGAGGCCGCTGAGGCTCGGGGGGTTGAGGCGAGCGCCGGAGCCGAGCAGGGCCTTTGGGTGGGCTGCTCGGGGGCGCGCGCGGGGGGCGGGGAAGGGGGGAAGAGGAAAGGGCAGTGGGGGCCGCGCCGGGCCTCGGGGAACCGAGACGTGGCCGGCCGGACGCCAGCTGCCGCCCTCGGCGCCCCCCCCGCGGCCCGTGGCCGCCCCCTCCCCCACCGGCCGTTTTGTTCTATTTCGAGGCGCCGGCGTCTCGCGGAGGGTTGTGGGACGCGCTGCGGCGGGCGAGGGCGGGCCTCGCGCCGCGCGGCCGGAAGTGCCGGCTCGGGGGGCGGCCGCGCCGGGGCGGGGGGCGGTCAGCAGCCCGGGGTGGACGTCGCCCGCGACGACGCGGCCCACCCGAGCTGCCCTTCAGCGCGGGGGGTGGCGCGGCCCGCACCTCTTTCCCACGGCCCCCCCTCGCCCCGCGCAGGGTGCTGGGTGCGGGTGTCGACGTGGGCAGGAGGAGCGCCCCCTCTTCTGCGTGGGTGCTTGAGGGGGACCCCGGGACGCGGCCGTCCGCGGGGCGCCGCCTCCTCCTCGCCCGGCCTTTGGCCAGCCCTGCCTTTCCCATGCCGGCCTCGCTGGGCATCTGACTCGTGCGGGTGAGGGGCAAGGACTTGGGGTCCGGGTGCCGGACCCCCGAGTTGGTAGAAGTCGGTGCGTGACTTATTTCGAAGAAATGTTCGTCAGCAGTGGCCCTGGGCATGACGGTGCAGATCCTGAGGCTCAGGAGCAGCCCAGGGGTTCCCTGCAAGATAGAAGCCGGGCGAGGAGTGACTCATCCCAAGTCAGGGTGAGGGGGCTGCCGCTGTGAGTAGCCTTTTCGCAGAACTGCCTGTGATTCATGCCTGTTGTTAGGTGGTTAAGGTGGGGCCGGTGGCTGAACAGTATTTGCTTTGTATTGCATCCAAGGGTTGTGTGTGTGTGTGTGTATGTGTGTGTGTCCTGCTCTCCCCCCCTCATACTATGGCCCCTGTGACGGAGCCAGTGAATTTTTTTTTAAAGGTGTATTTTAATTTTAGGTAGTTCTCAATCGTATTGAAAATACTGTGCACTTTTAAAAAAGTCCTGTTAATTTTTTTCTTTACGCTGATAAGTAGGAAGCGCCTAATCTTGAACTGACCTAAACTTCAGGAAGCACCAGTCCTAAACTGTGGGGCATGCATTCCAGGGTCAGATGGCGTTTTCGCAAAAACCTGGTTTGGGCAGGCTTTTACCAGTCTTGTGATTCCTGGAATGGGGTTTGTGGAGTTTGCAGGTCTTAGATGGCAAGGCCCTTTTCTGCAACCGGGCCAGAAAGCAAATATTTTTCAAGTCTTATTTTTCCGTTGCAGCCATTCAACTCAGCCTGAACCATGGACAAGTAAATAAAACTATAAAGACAGATCTTGAATTCCATATCGTTTTCATGTCTGGAATATTGATGGTGTTCGCCTCTCACCCCCACCCCTTGCCCCCCAGTTGTGTAAAAAGAAGTGTGAAAACTAGTAGGAGTATTGTGTACAAACAGGCGTCAGGCCTGGTTTCGCCCTGAACAGTTGCTTACCATTTTTGGTATAGGTTGTTGATTAGAATTTTTTTGTTTTGGGGCTTCACCATGCTTATTCCTGACTCTGTGCTCAGGGATCACTTCTGGAGGGCTTGGGGGACCATAGATAGGGGTGGTACATAGTTCCTGTGGCACGCAAGTGCCCTACCTGATATACTGTCTGGCCCCTTGATTGGAATACTTAACCCAGTAAAATAAAAAGCAGATTTTTTTTCACTTTTGTCAGAATATAGCCAAATTCATCCAATATTTGATCTTTTGTTTCTTCCTGTAATGCCTTAGGAGTCCCTAAGAAGATAACAGGATAGTTCCCTGAGGCCTATATCTGTCCTTGGCTTTCTTTTTTTGAAGTACTATATATCAGGATGTCTGCACAGTCAGGGGAAGAAGATTCAATACTTATCATCCCCACTCCAGATGAAGAGGAGAAAATCCTGCGAGTAAAGTTGGAGGAAGATCCTGATGTAGAAGAGGGATCAAGTGTTCCCTGGAACCATCTCCCTGAGCCAGAGGTGTTTCGGCAGCGGTTCCGGCAGTTTGGATACCAGGATTCACCTGGGCCTCGGGAAGCTGTGAGCCAGCTAAGAGAACTCTGCCGTCTGTGGCTCCGGCCAGAGAGACACACAAAAGAACAGATCTTGGAGTTGGTAGTACTGGAGCAGTTTGTTGCCATCCTGCCCAAGGAGTTGCAGACTTGGGTTCGAGAGCATCATCCAGAGAATGGAGAGGAAGCAGTGACAGTGCTGGAGGACTTAGAGAGTGAACTCGATGACCCCGGACAGCCGGTGAGCCTGCTTGTGTCACTTTCTGAGTCAAGCAGTAGGCAGGCATAAGGAGTGGGCAAAGCTGAATTCCTGCTACATGGTTAAAATAGAATTTCATTTGTCTTTTCTATGCCCACCACTGCTTGCCATTATCTGGATTTCTTTACAGTGTTCTTGTATGGTGTTTATTGTGTATATACTTAGTTCTCACATCAAAGTCCTTTGGCTGAGCCAACTTTGTCATTTACAGGTTTCTCTTCGTCGACGAAAACGGGAAGTGCTAGTAGAGGAGATCGTTTCTCAGGAAGAAGCTCAGGGATTACCAAATTCTGAGCTTGATGCTGTGGAAAACCAGCTCAAGTGGGCATCCTGGGAGCTCCACTCCCTGCGGCACTGTGGTGAGAATGGGAACTCCATATGGAACTTACTTTCTCTCAGAAACTTTGTTTTTGGGTAGTATTCACCTTTTTTTCTTTCTTTCTTTTTTTTTTTTTTGCTTTTAGGTCACACCTGACAATGCTCAGGGGTTTCTCCTGGCTCATGCACTCAGGAATTACTCCTGGCAGTGCTCAGGGGACCATATGGGATGCTGGGAATCGAACCCGGGTTGGCCGCGTGCAAGGCAAACGCCCTACCCTCTGTGTTATTGCTCCAGTCCCAGCATTCACCTTTTTAAAAAGCTATTCATAAGAAATAGGTTTCCTAGCTATTAAAGCTTTGAATACATAGATATTTGTTTTTCCCAGTATATTGGCAATTGATGCCATATATTTTTTGGTGTGCTTTGATATAATCTGGTATATCCCTTAAACTGGATTCTTTCATATGTAAAAAGGTAAAGGTAAAGGCCCTCCCGTTGATCGTCGATTTGCTCGAGCGGGCCCAGTAACGTCTCCATTGGAGACTTTGTTGTTACTGTGTCTGGCATATCGAATACTCTCGGTAGCTTGCCGGGCTCTCCGAGAGGGGCGGAGGAATCGAACTCGGGTCGGCCATGTTGGCCGCTTGTAAGGCGAACGCCTTACCCGCTGTGCTATCGCTCCAGCCCTTATAATAAAATTTGAGACTAGTAGTTGAAGATATTGTTCGCATGCCCCAGTTGGAGTTTGCAGGAACTTTTTTTGTTTTGTTTTTGTTTTGGGGCTGCACCTAGTGATACTCAGGGGTTACTCCTGGTACTGCATCAGGAATTAACTCCTGGTGGGCTTGGGGGATCATATGGGATGCTCAGGATCAAACCTTGGTCAGCTGTGTGCAAGGCCTTCCCCAGTGTACTATTGCTCCAGCCCTGAGTAGGAACTCCTGGCCTGGGGTTGAAGTCTTTTCAAACCTGAATTAGGTTTCATAGGACATACTTCTATAGCATTAAGTTTAAGAACCACTGTTTTGGTCTTCGGAGATGGTATTTTTTGAGTAGAAAATGTCTTTCCTGCATGAATTTTAGAATAATTTTCACTTATTAACAGTTTTCTTATACCATATGGGTTATTTTTCCTGTGCCATTTGTCCCCACTTTCATACTGATCTTTTTCAAATATGTATACCTCACTAGTATTCCCTAGCCCTTCAAATTGTTTATAGTTTTCTCTCCTGATTACTTTATCACTGACTATAAGCTAGCTTATAATTTACAACTTAAGAAATTTTTTTATATATTTTTTTGGTTTGGGGCTACACCCAGCAGCGCTTAGCAATCACTCCTGGCAGTGGTTGGGTACCATATTGAGTGCCAGAAATGAACCTAGGTTGACCACAGTTAAGGCAAGTGCACTACCCACTTTACTGTTGCTCTGGCCCTCATTTACCACTTTTTCAGTGCTGCTATCCTCATCCTTGCATATTTGTTCTTACATGTCAAGGCTGGAAGTTTCAGGAGAGTCTTAAGACTTGCACATACTTCTACCTGCTGATCATTCAGGGTGTTCTTTCATGATAAAGATAACAATTTATAATTGTCAGGATAAATACCAAATAATGACACATGGTTTTTACAGGAAAACTATTATAAATAATAAATTAAGGACATGATGAATTTGTAGGTGTCATACCCTGGGTAGTTATAGGATGACTCCCACCTTTTCTTTAGACCTCTCATCATGTGGTCTCTGTGTTCTGCTTTGGGTCTAAACATGCTAGTGAATCTCCCTTGTCTTGCTCATTTCATCAGTAGCCATTTCCTGACAGATTGTTGATTTGGTTTGAGGGCCATACCTGGTAGTGTTCAAGGCTTTCTCCTGACTCAGTACTCAGGGATCATTCCTAGAAGTGCTCAGGGGATCGTACTGAAATGCCTGAAATTAAACTGGTTTTGGCTGCATGCCAGACAAGTGCCTTAATCCCTGTACTGTCTGTCTAGCCCCCTTGCTGGGGGAGGGGGATTCAGGTCACATCTGGTATTGCTCAGGGCTTACTCTTGGCTCCACTCATAGATTACTTTTCTGCTAATGACCAAGCTTGTTTGATTTTTCTCTTAACAAAATTTTATCCAGGTCTTGCTGTATCACTTTATTTCTCTAACTTAGTTCTGCTATCTTTCTGCCTTTTGTTTTCTGACTACTGTTACATAACCCACAAAGTTACATAACCACTTGACGCTTAAAATATTTGGATATGACTTTTAATCCCTTATTGTATGATTATGACATTTTCTCTTTAGATTCATATACTTGATATACAGATACATATACTTCATGTTATCTGTTTCTCTTTGGAGGATAGGGAGCCTCACGACCAGTATTCAGAACTGTTAAAGAGATGTAGCCAAGCTCTTTACTTTGATGAATTTTATTTAAGATTTTTTTTCTTTGGGGTTCTTTCAGATCATGAAATGAATGACATTGAGCTTGCTTTTTATTTCAGAGGATGATGCTAGGACTGAAAATGGAGCCCTAGCCCCAAAACAAGAGATTTCTTCAGCTGTAGAATCTCAGGAAGTTCCTGGCACACTCAATATAGATGTTCCTCAAATTTTCAAATATGGAGAAGCATGTTTCCCCAAGGGCCGGTTTGAAAGAAAGAGAAATCCTTCTCGAAAGAAACAGCATATATGTGATGAATGTGGAAAACACTTCAGTCAGGGCTCAGCCCTTATTCTTCATCAAAGGATCCACAGTGGGGAGAAACCCTATGGATGTGTTGAATGTGGAAAAGCATTCAGCAGAAGTTCCATTCTTGTGCAGCACCAGAGAGTCCACACTGGAGAAAAACCTTACAAATGCCTTGAATGTGGAAAAGCCTTTAGCCAGAATTCTGGGCTTATTAATCACCAGAGAATCCATACCGGGGAGAAACCTTACGAATGTGTTCAGTGTGGGAAATCCTATAGTCAAAGCTCAAATCTTTTTAGACATCAGCGAAGACACAATGCAGAAAAACTTCTGAATGTTGTGAAAGTTTAAGAAATTACAAAAATTATCAGCGCTCAGGTCTTTTTCTTCAGAAATGAAGACAAAATTAAAAACAAGATGAGTCATAATTTTGTTTTCCTATAGACTGCTAGAAAATTCACTGGGAAATGTAAAAAACTGTCACTGACCATTATTATTTTGTCTTGAAAGAAATGGTGTCATACCTTAGCATTGAAATTTTCAACTTAATTCAGGTATTAATACCTAAATCTTCTTTGTGATATTTGTATTATTTTTTCCAAATAATGAACTACCTAATTCTTTGTCCCTTTCCTAAAAGTTTCCTTTTTAGACAGATATTTCTGTGTTGAGAATTGAAATGTTCTTTGTAAGGATATATTCCCTTTTACATTAAAAGGCAAATTAGGAATTCTAATGAATGAAAATCTGAAACCGTCTTTTTAAACTGTCCCCTTCTGTTTCCTCTTATGTAATTTGAGAGTGTATTTCAGGAAATCGAAAATACAGGATAACTAAAAGCCTCAAAATAAAAAGAGCCTTAAAACTCGAAAACAAAGTGATATAGATTAAATATCGACACTGAATGGGATAACTAAATTGGGGAAGATACACCAATATTTTGGCTCAAAGAACTGAAGTGTATCAAGAATTTACCTAATTATCTGCCTACAGGAAACTCTAAAATAGCTCATTTTATGTTACTTGGAGACACCCATTATTGAAAATAATATTCTCTTCATTTGGAAGTGGACTAGCAGAAATTGACTGTCATTAGAGAATAATCCTTAGTGAAAGACCACTGATACAGGGCAAATGTAAGTGTAAGAGTAATGGTCCTGGCTTTTAGGAAACAAAAGATTACTATTTGCCTTCATTTTTGTTAAAGACAAAAAATCCATGATAGGTGGGCAAAAAATAATCAGGTTTGCTATTTTATTTTTGGTACAAAAGGGTTGAACACCAGACTAACAAAGCAGTCACACATTTATTGTTAAACTTTTTATACCGATAAAGGCACTGTGCTAGGTACTGTAAGCCTACCATTAGGTAGGTAGGTAGGTAGGTATTTCTTCCACTGTAAATCATTAGGTTGACACGTAACTATTTATGTGTTAGCCTCTTCCCCCTGTCAAAGCATCCTGGGGGAGGACACCTCTGAGGTTACCAGAGCCATAGTTTAGTTCTCTTACCAGGGTGTTGTAGTTGGGGAAAGGAAGACTCCGTTTAGAGAGCTAACCAGATAGCTCGCCAGTATTCAGAGGTGAGTCCGAGATACTCTCACTTTGGAGCTTTGTGGGTCTTTAAAAAAAAAAAAAAACAACTAATCAATATCTAGTAGCATTGACATTATACTTACATGTTAAGTTGAATGGATTGTTCTATTTTTTAAAAACTAGTTTATTAATTATCAGAATTGATTCAACTTTTTTTTATTTTCAGTTTTAACACTTAAAAATGTATAAAAGGTAATACATTAGAGTAGTAGAATTATATACTCCTTGGCTGAGAATCCCAAGAACTGTGGTTTGCCTATTTAGTGGAAAACTCTGGAAGTTAAAATATAGACTATGAGAAAAGACTTTTTCATAGAAGCATCATGTGGAGATATTTCTGATTTCCAGAGATTTTGGTTACATCAGGTGCTTGGATCAAATTAAAAAAATGGAGGGTGAGACTTGCATGAGCCTCTTAAAAAGCATAATAATAAATGCAAGGCCAGCTGGTGGAGAAGTGAGGCAGTACGGAGCTTGTTCATAGGTTTTCTGATAACAATTATAAGAAATGTGCTTTATAGATTAAGATTTATTGAAGTATAAATATGTAGTAATGTTATAATGTATTTTAAGTTATACAAGAAAATGTAGGGACTTTTGTTTGGGTCTTTTCTCTTTATGGCTAAGAGGAAACAAGTCACTGTCCAATAAAGCTATAAACACCTCTACTCTAAGATAAAATGACCTTGAGTTGATTGATTTATTTATAACTGACTTCTTTCCATGTAGGTTTTGAGGTGGTATATTTGAAATAACTGCTAGGATGACAGTTCTTCATGTCAGAGTAGGTAAGATGGGGAGTTGCCTCTTGGTGGCTAGAATTCGTGCTTTTTAGATCCTGTATCTTCCTGTATACAAAGAAAGAAGCTTTCCCAAGGTGTAGATTTGTCTTAAATGCCAAAGATTTTTGGTATGAGCTTAAAAAAAGTAGTATTGGTGTTGGCAGATAAAAGTGTTTATCTTGTCAGCTCTGATTATACTTACCTGTGCATTGTTTAGAATGGACTCTGAAGCTCAGGCAAGGATTTGTGGGGAGAATGGTCTGGACCCAAAAAGATTGATGGCACACAGGAAAGGAATTAGTGGTCTGTGTGCTAATCTCTCATAGACTAAGCCCCCACTAGACAAATTGATTTAAAGTAATTTTAAGTGGTTTTTTCATCCAGACTTTCAATTGTACCTACAGAGATAATCATTGTGATTTTGGGGAGTGCCTGGCCTTTGATTAGCAAAAGAGCAGTTGCTGTTTATAGTACACAGACAGTATTTATTCAGTGGACTTTGATTTTGCTTATTGCTAAATTTTCTGGTTTTTTTGGAGGTTCAATGCTCCACATTCACACCCAGGTATTTGGCTCTTGATTGTTTAATAGCAATATGTCTTACCACTTTTATATACGTTGAAGGGAGGGTTTTGCGTGTTTGGAATAATCTGCATGCCAGATACTGTATTAGACACTAAACCTGTCCCTCTTAGGTTTGTAGACTAACAGTATGATTCAGAGATTGTGTGATTTGCATGAGGCCAGTTAACTAAACCTCAAATCTAGTTCTGTGAACTTCTGGGACATGTTTTTTCACTACATGAATGATAGACCGTTAAACCTTGATTAATCAGTTTTATGCTTTTGTCTTTTGTAATTATATTTGAGTTTTCTACAATACAGAAACAAAATGAAAAAAAGAACATTCCGTCTCTCTTAGTCTTACTCAATAATTACATGGTTTCTTCTTCTTCCAGACCTAGGTATGTATGTATTTAAGCGAAAATGTGTTAATAGTTAACACTTGTGGTCACAGTATACAGACACTGAGGCTCTTTACCATGGATTAACTCCAAATCCTTGTAGTGACCATGTGAGGTAGGTACACCATTCCCACTTTAGATATACTACAGTGAAAGTTTTCTCCCCTTCTTCCCTCTTTGATACACAATTGTTTTTCATGGCTACTTACATGACTACATCCATTGCATGAATATACTGTCATTTATTCAGCACTTAAAGTGGAAAATTTGTGGTTTTTATTTTTGGGGGGGTGTTTGTTTTTTGTTGATTTTTTTTTTTTTTGGTCTTTATATATATATGTAAAGTTTATAGGTAAAATTCTTGTACATATATTTAGCTTCCAGTGTGGGAATTTCTATAGGCTAAATTGATACATGTATGTTTATTGGGTCAGAGAATGAGCACATTTAACCTTGTGGGAAATAGCATCAAAAAGATTGTTATAACTCCATCAACAGAGTGTCTGTTTGCTTTCACTCCCACCAACATTGAGTGCTACCACTCATAGTTTTGCCCATTAATAGGTAAATTCATCTTTTATTTCACTAATAAAACATTTTCTCATGTTTTGCCATTTGATTTTCCAGATTTAAAAATTATAAAGCTAGAAGGCCTTTGTACAAAACTCAAATGAAATACAAGAGCAAAAAGGCCCTTCAGTGTTTCCAATCACATTCCTCTGTCCACAGTTTTAATAGCCCACATTCCATACATTTCCTTGTGAATCTACATGCACATATCAAGGCTGTTTTCAAACAAATGGGATCATCTGCTTTCTGTAGGGTTTTCTATTTCTATTCTATTGGCCCTCCCGTTGATCGTCGATTTGCTCGAGCGGGCCCAGTAACGTCTCCATTGGAGACTTTGTTGTTACTGTGTCTGGCATATCGAATACTCTCGGTAGCTTGCCGGGCTCTCCGAGAGGGGCGGAGGAATCGAACTCGGGTCGGCCATGTTGACCGCTTGTAAGGCGAACGCCCTACCCGCTAGTGGTGTTTTTTTGTTTGTTTAAAAACAAACAATTTAAAAATTGGTCTCAATATTTTATGATCTTCAGATTTCCTTAATGGTAGAATAGGATTCAATACTACAAATAGGCTTTTTGATCATGCATTCTCTTACATTGCCAAATAAGCTTGAGTTGTTTGTTTTTTCCCTATCATTGTGCATGTGTATTTTTTTAGGATGGAGTCATGTAAGTTAAGTGGATTGTTGGATCAAAGCAATGGCTCTTTCAAGGGCATTCATTTCTAACTTATTTTCACCAACTATATGCAAAGTGCTCATTTTCCCATATAGCCTTACCTACACTTGATAGTTTTTATCTAAAGTACAAAAAAATCCTTATTTCACATTAATGGTGAGATTGAGATTATATTTATTGGCCATTTATAGTTTTACCATGGATTGTTCATATTCTGTACCTGCATTATGTGTGGGTATGTATTGTTTCTGTCTTTCCCCATCTTCTGATAACAGAACCCTTATTTATTGTGGGGAACTGATTCCCTGTGGATTAGGTGAATTCATGACCAGGCCTGGCCTTCCTGAGTTCCACAGCACCCTAGCCACAGTGATTGAAGAATGGGCATGTAACTGAAGCCAGACTAAAGAGCCTTCAACAGAACTACTGGAACTACTGGAAAAAGGCTCTACGGAGATTCCATGAACTAAGGACTATGTAACCCTGAATCTGTACTTGGTGCAAAGAGACTGAGGAACATCTCAGGCTAGCAGAAAGGAAAGAGAACTAAGTTCAGATGTCATTTTTCTGGAGGCCCTAGATCCAGCTGTGCCTAAAGCCTGCCCTACCTCTGGACTTTAAAGTTTTGTGAGCCAATAAAGTCCCTTTCTTGTTTAAAATAATTGAATTGGGTTTCTGTCCAGATTAATATGTTATTTGTATTTTCTTATTGATTTGTAGAAAACCTTTGTAATTATAAATTCTAGACATATACTTTATGCGCTATATAGGTTTAATAAAATTAGCATGGCCATCCACGTTTTTGGCCTCTGTCAACATTTGCCATTTGTTGCTATACTCTGCACTGCGTAACACCTTATGTTCCAACAATAGGCATTGGTGTTGGGGAATGCTTCTAAATGTAAAGCTTTTCGTAAAAGTGACCCCCATGACATGTCTCCATCCTTCTTTAGATTCATTAGACACTGGGGTTTGCATCAGTGACTCTGCTGTGCCCCCTTTTCACCACTGTTCATTGTTCTTGGGCACTCCCTGCAGACACTCTGATGTGGAGCCCATCTTCATGACCTCCATTCCCCAGTTCTCCCCAGCATGGTTCTGAGTTCCTAATTTTAAGCCTGTTGTAGTTAAACTGCTGGTCCAACATTGTTTTGGGTTGGAGCCAGTTGCTTCTGTGTGGAAACAATGCACGGTAGGAAAGAGAAAAACATGTCATAAACAGAAAGGGAAAAATAAATTGGGGAAGATGGTAAAACAACAGAGGAAAGATACTGCAGCTTAGGTTACCCATGGAAGGCTTCATTGAGAAAATGAAAACTGAGGTGAGTTCTTGTAAGGAAGAGTCCAAGTTAAGATTGGAGGATGTTCCAGGAAAGGAAGCAGCACAAAGAACTTGATGGTGGGGGGAGGGGGGGGGTGGAGGAGGAGGGATAGAGGTCATGGGAAGGGGTGATAATTTTTGATTTGTTCAAGGAACAGCAAGCTGGCTGGAGGTGAAATGAACATGATGGAAAATTGGATGAGACCAGAGTGAGAAATAGATGAGCTTGACAGCCACATCACAGAAGACTGGTTAGTCGTTGGTAGGACCAGGATATTTGAATGAGATGGGAAACCATTAGAGGATTTGGGCAAGGGAATACATGTATGGGTGGTGTTAGAAAATAATTTGCTTTTGTGCCACACCTGGCAGTGCTTAGGGCTTACTCCTGGCTCTGCTCAGGGATCACTTCTAGAAGACTCAGGACAATATGGTGTGCCGGGGATCGAACCCAAGTCAGCTTCATGCAAGAGAAGTCCCCTACCCACTCTACTATCTTTCCAGCCCCAGGAAAGAATTTTTTAAAAAATACCCAGCTATCTTTTATTTCCACACACACATACATTCAGCATCTATATATATATATATATATATATATATATATATATATATATATATACTCCAGATAGCAAATGTGATTCTAGTGATCATACCAGGTCTGCCACATGCAAAGCAACCACCTTACCCCTGTACTCTCTGGCCCTGATTAGTTTTTAAAATGTTTGTGTTCTGGGGCCAG